CTTCAGAATTTATTCCTTTACATGCATTCCCCCCCCCACCTCCAAGAGAGCCAATAGTCCCCCAGCAATCTAACAGAGCCGAGCTGAGCTCCCACACCACTGAAATATCACTCTGGATTACATGTTCAGGTATGTGGTGTGAGACTTGAATCCATCACTTTATGACTGAGCTGCAATATGTCCCTCCAATGTTGTGCTTTGTACCTGTGCAAATCCTGAGCGTTAGTGTCCATATGGGTGGACACATTCATTTTAAGAATTGCGTCTTATGACCAAACTCTGCTTACACTCAATGTACTCACTTTCCTATCTTCTTAATTTCTAATTTGCTGGTCTAGGCCACTGCCAAATGCTATAGGGCCACCTTGGGCATTTCTATTGGAAACTATGCAAAAGGAATTTTCCACAACACACGTGTACTTTCGCATGTCTGACACATAATTTAATTAACACCACACCCACAGAAGTGTCCTACAACTCGAGCTAAGCCCTTCATTCTATCTGCATCTATAGTTTCAATTACTGGGTCTGTATTGCCAAACAATCAAGCAGCATTGCAACACAAGCCCATGACCACAGACCTTTGTGTGGATCTTAACCGCTTTGCTACTGATGACAATTTGATTACTTTCAAAATAAAAGAAAATAGGACTCACGGGGTTGAAAGAGAACACTTGCACTAGGACAGCACCAGTCACAAGTTTAAAAGTAATTTTAAGCCAATGAACTGTATTATTGTTGAAAGTTGAAAGCACAGTGGCTTATTTAAGCACAGCATGATCCCAAAAGCAATGATTTGATAATGATCAGATAATCTGCTGTTAAATGTTATTTCGGAGATAAATACTGTCAGGAGCATCAGTGCAAGCTCTATTGCTCTTCATATAGCATCATGAGATATTTTACCTCCATTTGAGAGAGAAGATGGAGCATCTTATTCAGAGGAGATCACCCCTGCCCATTAGTCAATAGTCCAACAATCTCACAGCACTACACAGATGTGCCAGCTTTTATTGTGTTACACTATTTGGAACTTGGGACTTGCATACAAACGTATAAAATAGGAAGCGCCAGCCCCTCGAACCTGTTCTGAAATTCAGTAAGATCCTAGCTGATCTGTTTAAGTTTCAAATTTCACTTTCCAATCTACCCCCAATAACCTTAGATTCTTGTTAGGCTAGGGAATCAATCTTCGTCCTCCTTAAAAACATTCAGTGACACCATGCCCATTGGCTTGAGCCAAAAAGTTCCAAAATCCCTCGAGCCTCTGCCCACTGAGGTTTGAGCCATGATCTATTGACGCCAATGCAGGTGCTACCCCTGAGCCACAAAACCCAAAATACGGCACATTTGGGATTACTGATTTTGAGAGTCTACCTATGTCAGAACAGGCACATTGACTGGCTTGTTTGATGCAGACACAGCCCTTGTCTTTCTTTAACTTCTGCACCAAATCTATTTTGCCCAAAAGTTAATGACTTTTGGTGCAAACATTTCATTGGAGTAGTATAGAACAAAAATAAAACTGCAGATGCTGGAGATCTGAGACAAACAAAAACAGACATCGCTGGAGGAAATCAGCAAATCTGGCAGCATCTGTGGAGAGAATATACTGAATAAAAACCAAAACAACTGCGGATGCTGTAAATCAGGAACAAAAACAGTTGCTGGAAAAGCTCAGTGGGTCTGACAGCATCTATGGAGGAGAAAACAGAGTTAACGTTTCGGGTCCGGTGACCCTTCCTCAGAACCTAC